GGGGGGGGGTCGGTTACCCGAGAATGGGAGGGTTGAGGAATAACGGAGGGCGTCCAACACCGCGAGCCATGCCGTCGCGGGGCGCAGGTCAGTCTGTCAGGCAACTGCGTCTGTTACTCGGTTAGGAATACCCGCGTCGATCCTCTGTCCGCGCGTTAGCGGCTTAACGTTTTCATTAGATACTCGAGTGTTACTCAGTTAGTACGTGGATTTCAATCATTGGTACGATTTTCAGTGGAATCAGTGGAGCGGGGGTGTTGGGCAAGGCCGGTTGAGGTGATTGGAGCTGATTTTTTTGGTGATTAACATGATTTGGGCGGTGAGAGGATGCGCGAGATTGTGAAGAATTTCCTGAGAGGATATTGGATGAGTTTCGAGTGCTAGTGTCGAGATTTTTCTCTCCTCAAGTATACCCTTTGCGTTTTTGCGATTTCCCTTCGCACAATTCACCGAGGGAGACTCCTCGCTCGATGATGAGAGTGTGAGCTCTAGAGCGTCCCGAATTTTGGCGCCCGGTGGTGGGACTCGAACCCGCGTCCACCGCGTGCCAGCAGCCGCGCCGCCGTCGGTCGTTAGCGATTATTCAAAAGAAAACACGAGTGCGGAAGATTCGAGGACTCGGGTATAGGTGATGTTGCTGGAGTCGCGAGGTATCACTGGAAGGAAGAGAAACGGACTGACCCTGACGACATACGGGGGTGGTGGTGGCGGTATTGTCGGCGGCGGAGGGGCCGGCAGTGAGGAAGACGAGGAGGAAACATCACGCGGTTATTTGGATGGTGATAAAATGCCGAGATGCGCGCTCGATGCGGAATCAACGACTGGTATTGCTTTGCCAGCTGGCATAACCGGTTGTGGAAGAGACGACGGAGACGAGAGCTCAAGTCCATCGCCCAATAATAGTTTGATTAATAACAACAATAATAATTGCAATTCGAATAGGGGTTGTGCTACGGATTTCAGTATAGCGGCGATAATGGCGCGAGATACGCGCCAGCAACAGCAGGGAGTACCGGGGAGTCAGCAGACGTCGCAGCAGCCGCATCACAGGCATCTGCAGCAACAGGCCGTCGGCGGCGGTAAACTACATCAGCATGGTAGGTTATCACAATCGCATGGTTGTTTTGTTAAATATTCACCGTGGAGCAACGAATGCAGCGAGTGTTTATTGGGATATAATGATTTCTAAATGACAGGGATGTGTGCCAAGCCCGCATAACGCTCTCACAACTATAATCACGTGTAAACAAAGGGAAATGACGACGGAATAGTTATGCGCGGGGAGAATGACGGAATGGGCATGCTTTACGATGACACGTTGTTTATGGAGTTTTGTGTTTAGTTTATGGAGTTTGAGTTTTTTGAAATTTGAAGGAGTTGTGGGGAGGGCTTGACACGTGGAGTGATGCACCATCTGGTGGTGAATGGCGGGAGGTGGGCGGCGGTGGATTTGAGAAAAGGAGAGGTCAATTTGAGGGATATGTGTGAGGCTGGGTAAATGTCGGATTGGACATTGTTTGGGATGAATGGACGATGAGTTTCGGGAGAAAGTAGAACCTGGGAATGTGCCACTGAGTGTTTTGTTGGACGACGGGCTTTCCAGCGGGCTGGAGGACAATGAGATGAGTGAACAATGGAAAATGAGGGGGGAGGAGGGGGGGAATTGATGCTCAATGGGGAGTTATGACGTAAATTTTGAATTTCTTCGAATGAGAGGTTTTTTGGGTAAAGACGAGACGTTCGGTGGACGGGATGTTAACGCCATTAGGACATGAAATCGTGAGACGCTTTTGGTGTTTATTTTTTTTTTTTTCAATTTATTGGGGTTTTGAATTTATTGAGAGGGTCGGAAGGGGGATGAGGCTGGAAGATGCTGAATTTAGTCAAATATAATGTCATTGCAAGATCAGAACGGCGTAAGAAATTAATATTTTGAATATTCTTCGAAAGAGGGTTTTCATTAGTAGTTTTGATCACGAAATTTTTTTTACTTTCATTTTATTAACTCCATTCAAATTCTGAATCATTCATATTTTAATTTGAGACATTAAGAATGCCTTAACTTTATGACCATAAATGGCTTAAAAAAGGGGACAAAATCGCTCAATTTCAAACACTTGACGACTCTCGAAGTCAGCCATTTTCAATCATCATATTTGTCAATTAAATTGCGTGAGAAAACATTGAAAATAATTATGAATATCAGCGTCATTTAAATTACATTAATTAGCGTCATTAAAATTACATTTTGCGCAAAATTATCATTTCTTTAACATTCGTTGTTTATAATTAAATAATTAGAATTGTTTAAACTTTCGGAGACCTAATTTTTTTAGACATGAAATCTACAAGTCTAGTCTTCTGGTAAAATTATAAATACCAATAAATTTGTTACGATACTGAATAAATGATTTTCTTGGCGGAAAATTGATTGTTGATAAATTATTTATCCAATTAAGAAATGCGTTAATAACGGTCCATAAAACTTAATTTGAATAAATTATTTATAGAAAATGCTCGTAATTTTCAAAAATTGCAATTTTTTAATTATTTTATGAATTTTCCTCCGAACGTGAACTTTCTAATGTTCTTCAGATTTTTAAAATGTTTTCTAACGTCTCCATATCGAGATTTAAATTCAGCCCTGCAAAATTTAAATGATAAAATAATAAAATCATTGTTGAATATTTGAAAATGTTTCACTGGAGCATTTCACTGGAGAAACAACAGCCAAATTACTTGGAAACCCCCAAGACAAGAAATCATAAGACGCTTATGGTGACTTATTAATTTTTTTTTCAATTTGACTTAAAAAAGGGAAGAAAAATCTCTCAATTTCAGACCTCATTTTTTCTTCTGCACTCGAGACACGAAATTGCGGGAAAATCGGGATTCTGTACAGACTCACGGTACAAATCGGCGGATTGGTTTAACACTGAGCACTTGCGAAGGATTGCGGACGGATACTCCTTCTGGCATTTGCTTTGGACGTTAGAGCACGGATAATGGTGGTTTGAGGGTAAATTATAGAAAACTCTACCCGCGAGACTGGACTTGCCACGTGGATCGGATAGCCATTATCCTCGTTTCGCTCTTGTCTGTAATTTATTCTCGATAACCCACCTTTCCGCGGATATACCCACGTTCTTCGTTCAAACACGCGAACGCTCTGTGATCTCTAGTCACTCCTATTGCCGGGTTTGATGGTGCAAACTGGGCGATCTTTCCTGTGCTTTTATCTTCAATTGCGTTTTGAAATTGTTGGGTTTGTTTTAGCGCTCAGTGGTTCTTTTTCACTTGGCGGGTAATGGAGAATGACTCAATCGCACTTATATTCTTGTTTCAATTGTCGATCTTTTAGGTTGATCAAGAACTTGCGCCGGATTACGCACTTCTGACGATTTTGGCTGAAATTTGGAGAAATTTCGCAATGAAAAATTCTAAACGCCGCGGAAAAATCAATGACAGTGTCATCTTATTTTATTTTGATTCCATACAGGGAAAATTGCTTTTGTATTGTATATAGTTTAGTTATTTTTGCCATTAAATTAGCAATATGATTCCGAATGGTTATTTTGGACATCATTTCCTTCTATCATGGTTGATTTATTGTTTATTTCATTTTATTAAATTGAATAAGATTTGTTTTCAACTAATTTTGTCAGATTTTCAACTTAGTTGAATGTTATCATCATCATTAGTCTTATTATTATTAGAAAATGTTTTATCTATCATCAAACATCTTGTTTTTAACCGAAAAAAGTCTTCTTTTAAGACATTAAGACGTCTTAAAGACACTATAGTCTTCACACTGTGATTTTTTAAAATTTGTTTTTAACTAATTTTGTCAGATTTTCAAATTAGTTGAATGTTATCATCATCATTAGTCTTATTATTATTAGAAAATGTTTTATCTATCATCAAACATCTTGTTTTTAACCGAAAAAAGTCTTCTTTTAAGACATTAAGACATCTTAAAGACACTATAGTCTTCACACTGTGATTTTTTTAAATTTGTTTTCAACTAATTTTGTCAGATTTTCAAATTATTTGAATGTTATCATCATCATCATTAGTCTTATTATTATTAGAAAATGTTTTATCTATCATCAAACATCTTGTTTTTAACCAAAAAAAGTCTTCTTTTAAGACATTAAGACATCTTAAAGACACTATAGTCTTCACACTGTGATTTTTTTAAATTTGTTTTCAACTAATTTTGTCAGATTTTCAAATTATTTGAATGTTATCATCATCATCATTAGTCTTATTATTATTAGAAAATGTTTTATCTATCATCAAACATCTTGTTTTTAACCAAAAAAAGTCTTCTTTTAAGACATTAAGACATCTTAAAGACACTATAGTCTTCACACTGTGATTTTTTTTATATTTGTTTTCAACTAATTTTGTCAGATTTTCAAATTATTTGAATGTTATCATCATCATTAGTCTTATTATTATTAGAAAATGTTTTATCTATCATCAAACATCTTGTTTTTAACCGAAAAAAGTCTTCTTTTAAGACATTAAGACGTCTTAAAGACACTATAGTCTTCACACTGTGATTTTTTAAAATTTGTTTTTAACTAATTTTGTCAGATTTTCAAATTAGTTGAATGTTATCATCATCATTAGTCTTATTATTATTAGAAAATGTTTTATCTATCATCAAACATCTTGTTTTTAACCGAAAAAAGTCTTCTTCTAAGACATTAAGACATCTTAAAGACACTATAGTCTTCACACTGTGATTTATGCAATTTCCCATGATTCAACTTAATTTTTGAAACATTCTAGGAGTATAGAGGGTCCTCTCTCAATACCTCGGCACGTCTCCTCGTAAATTACTCAGCCCACATATGCATTTCCTAAGATTTTATTTCTTGTTTCTGGGCCCCTCTCTCATTTCGGCCTTTCTCACTCGCCGTTGTACGTCGTCGTCCTTTTCGTCAGTCGTTTAACACTGGCGTTGACGTTGTCGAATAAAAATACATTCGGATGTATAACTCAGACCACCAAGCGTGCCACCCGCGACGAGGGGGTCCAGGGAATATAATAAAATTACAAACTTTTCGCGCCAATTAAGAGATACTTCTCGGGCGACGGCTGCTCCAATTTAAATGACAATTTTTTATCGCGATATTTTGATTATTCCGGGGCGAAAAGCTGAATGGACGAGCCGGAGAGGAATTTTATGAATAAATTCGGGAATTTCATTCGTAATTCAACGGTTTCAGGCGGTTCGGTGAACTTAAACCGCTAGGGTTTCTTTCAATTATTGAAATTCCTGAAATGTCGACATGTATGAGCGCTTCGTTACGGATTTATCATTTGGGTAAGGGGCTCGGTATTACTGTGTCAGCACGAGAAGAATATTTTAATAAAAAATGACATATTTCAGTGGAAATTGTTGGAAATTATGAATTGCAGTTGAATTATTTTATGAAATCTAATCGGAATCAGGGAAATCTAGTGATATTTTGTATTGAATATTCATGTTTTAATGGAAAATTCAAGTCCGTTGGGAAATTGTCATTTCTGCTGCTCATAAATTTGAAATTTTATTTAACATTTCATGTTTTTTTCCTTTAAATGTAGTTGAATGTCATTTTTTTCTAAATTACTGTTGAACTCTCCACAAAATTTTAATAAAAATAACGATATTTCAATGGAAATCGATGGAAATTATAAATTTTACTTGAATTATCCCATGAAATTCGATGGAAATGAGAGAAATTTAAGCGAATATATTCTTGAATGTGTAATTAATGGGAAATTCAATGTAATTTGATACTGAATATTCATGTTTTACTTGAAAATTCAAGTCAATTGAGAAATTGTCAATTCTGTTGCTCAAAAATTTGAAATTTCATTAAATTTCAAATCACATTTGAAATCCCATGTTTTTTCGCTTTAAATCTAATTGAATGTCATTTTTTCTAAATTACTGCTGAACTCTCCACAAAATGTCAATAAAAACAACGATATTTCGATGGAAACCGATGGAAATTATAAATTGTACTTGAATTAGTCAATGAAATTCGACGGAAGTAAGAGAAATTTAAGTGAATATATTCTTGGATTCTTGGATAATATCCATTAATGGGAAATTTAGTATAATTTGATACTGAATGTCCATGGTTTACTTGAAAATTCAAGTCAATCGAGAAATTGTCGCTTCTGCTGCTCAAAAATTTGAAATTTCATTAAACTTGCAGTGAAATTTCAAATTTTACAATTTTTCGTTCCTCAAATCCAATTAAATGCTGCTCTCCTGAAAATATACCACCATATTTTACATTACGCAGCGGTGCACCACGAAAAAGGGGGCGGTTGAGAGAATTACACGTGACCATTGAATTTCCGGCCGTACGGTGACGGGCCGTCATGTAAGTACTCCCAACTGGCGACTCCTTGAAAAATGAATCGCTGGATTCCGTGCTCGCATGAGTGTTAATCCCGCGATAATAATTCCAACAAATCACGGAGCTTATACTCTTGTAAACAGTTATGAATATTTCCCCCTCCCCCCTCGCAAGACGGAATCGATCCCAATTTTCATGATTTTCAGTAACAAGATCTATGCGCGCGCTGATCTATTCATTTGTTGAAATGAAGAAATGGAATTCATTAAATTTAATTTTCTCATGAATACCTTATAAATATTGATAATGAATCAAAGAGAATTCGACTAATGATTGAAGTGAATAGCGAAGTAGAGTAAAAGAATCTATAAAGAATTTTTCATTTTCAATTAATTATCTTCAATTTTTTCAAATAATCGGTCTCCATAAAAGGACAGAATTTATTAATTTCACCGATAATATATATACATGTAAAATATATGTATTATATATATATATGACGTGAAAAAAAATTTTACCACTGAAGAATTTAAAAATGCTCCGTGTTTTTTTGTGAATAACTTCGTGTCACATATTGACCAATCAGAATTAAGGATTAGCGGTCAGTCAGTTTCGAGATATTTCGATATAAAACAACTTCACATTTCTTTCATCTTCAGTAAAATAGGATTTCCATTGTCGTATGAACCTGAGAAGTCAAATTTCATTGAATATTCAAGAACATTGATTGACTTATCAATAACAAAATCAATGAAAATCCACTGTAAACATTCGCTGTTAAAAATCTCAAGATTTTTTCCTTGAAATTTCAGTGGTAATTAAATTCGGCAAAAATCTCCCCAAAGTGTGCGGTAAATTTCAGACAAAAATTTGCAACACTCTAATCGTGAAGCGGAATCCATTCCCAGTCATGCAAGCTGCCGTTCACACCGCGCGTTTTCCAAACACCAATAACTGAACAAATACAATTAATTAATGAACGAAACCCGGGTAAAGACGTTCATAAATTTATAATTGCACATAGTTCACGCATTGCTGTCTCCCGCGGCAGTTTTGACATGCTAATGTGTAACTGAAGGCATTAAAGTCCAACTCCCCGAGTAAATGAATAATTAGTAGCTTTTTTTCCCCCCTGCCGACTGGAGCGTAGGTGTTATTACATGTTTTACGGGTGAACTGTTTCCTCTGTCTCTCACAACCCATATTTTTCTGTACAACCCATCATTCGCCGGCTCTCGCGCGCTCTCTCCGCACGAGCAATTAGTCCCGCCGCGCCTAATTGCGTTCGAGGCGCTTCCAACGTACGTACGGATCTGCGAGGGAAAAAAAATATTATTGCAACCAGTGAGGAGGTGGAATTCGAGGCTACAACGTCCGTTCGAACGGTAGCCTTCGATTCGACTCACCTTCGCTTCATTTCATGGCTCAATATATTTTTTTTCGCTCTCCTCTCGCCTTCGAATAATTCATGGAGATTGGAAGAAATCTGCCGGGTTCAATTTTACCCCCGATGAGACGCTAATTAGGAGAGAACCGTTGATATGTAACTGAGGCATGAATGAGATCTCCGCGTCGTGTGTGTTTACTCGGTGGGACGCGTGACACACGACACGGGACGGGCGCGCGTGTGTGCTGTACTCGTACTATTTCTGAGACTGTCGAAAGAGCTGGTGGAGAAAAAAAGTAGCACCCGGGGAACTGAAAACCCGCTAAGACTGACGACATGTGGGTGGAGGATGCGAGAGGCGAGGTTTTTTGCGGGATTTTTTTTTTCATTAATTTATGGTGGTTTCTCACGTTTCTATTTCATTATCGCCCAGTAGCGCTGGGGAAATATTGGTCGTTAAATTTGTT